TCATTACTAAGTGCTTGTGTTTTCCAAGATTTTTATCGGATTTATAAATGATCACGTGTCATTACATCATACATAACGTGATAGATATTGTGTATTACTTTATACAATATAATAAGTATTTAATGCTTATCAAAATTCCATCATGCTTTCGATTGATGACACGTAAAGTTCCGACTATGCTCTTCTTAAGTTCGTGTCACACTACACATTAGACGGCGTCTACAATAAGATTTTAATGCTTAAAATTTAAATGTCAATCCTTAAGCTGTAAGAAATTGTATGAACAGTTGATTATTTTCCTTATATGTGGCTGTAATTGGTCGATTTCTTACGGCTTGAGGCTTAAGTTCGCGCCTTAAAATCTCATCGCCGTTTTAGGTGTATTTGCATTAGCGTTATTTATGTCATTCCATCCTTGTTTTACATCTAACAAACGAAAAAGCTAGAATGATATAAATAACGCTAGTAATGTCTCCCTGAATTTGTTGTGTATGAGGATTGAATTACGAACTGCTAATCGTGTTGAGATCAACTAATCAGATTGATTAATCAACAATTCGCAATTGATAAACCCAATCCAATCTGTATTTACAATGCATGGTGTGATACAGGCTTTACGAAATGCAATAATTCTGACTATGCATTTTCACAAATAAATTTCGCTCGTTTATGTTTCCGTAGAACAAACATGAATATCGGAATAATACGGAAAAAGAATTTCTCTCGTAGGAAGATTACTGCACAGCAACGAAAAACGGAAAATGGGAAAAGTAAATTTTAAAAATTTCTCAAATAAAGATATATCTCTCTTTTTCGACACGTTTAGAGCTTATTTCTCATATGTAAACTAATAAAGTACGCGAGGGACGTACGTCCTCCAACAAATATAAACAGTGTCGCAAATCCTATAGTCGCAAGATATTTATAGACTTCCACGTGCAAACGGATGATAAGTTATCAGATATGTGTATGAAATTTTTCTCATTAGTCCATCAATAAAATTAACAATGTTACAATCTAATATTGGCTAATAATATTAAATTAATTATTCGCTCAAATAAATTTGTGCGCAAACAGGTGTGCATAATTCATATGTACATAAATGGCATGGAAATTACAGTAAAAGTGTATATATATCAATAAAACAAATCCGTTGATAAAGATGCTTGTCGGTAAAAAGGCTGACAGGTAAATAATCGAAAATCATCCTTCTTGTTCCTATTTTTAACTTATAAATAATCCTCTTTAGGATTCCTTGTCGTGAACGGTTTACAAGTTGAATGGAAGCTTATACAAAGGTATACAATAGGAATGCTTCCATAACGCTGTCCCAGTCTGATAAAATCCCTTTAAGCACGCTCTTCCGCGTATAACGCGTAACTCTTGAATAAATTTCTTCGAACCGCCTTAACTTTTGTTTGTTAATAAACTTGCTATAATAATAAACAAACTTGGCGTCTGCCGGAACGATTAGCTTTCTGCTTAAGAGCTTCGATCGGTATTAAACACAAGGAGTACATTGCAAATACATTTATTAATTACAAATTTGTAATAAATAAATCGAATTTAAATTTCTTTAAGTTGATCATATTAATTTGGTCAAAAAATTGAATCTTTTCGGCATAGATTTATATATCGTGTATCTTTTTTTACAGAGAAAGGAGAGAAATAGAGCGTTCGTTTATATAATGCAATCTACAAGGAATCTCAAATATACTGCAAGTACATTTAAATCACAGATTAGGCAATAAATAAATCGAATAATTACTTTAAGATAATCATATTAATTTGATCAAAATCGAATCTTTTCGGCACAGATTCATATATATACATATATAATCATTTTCATAGAGAAAGGAGCGAAATATATTCATTTGTATGGTGCAATCCACGCATGTAAGTATATGCACCGCAGTTTGTTTTGATAAATCTGCGATAGAGCATAAATCATTCGACATGATAATACATCTAACCAAATGCCAATATCGGCATTCAGTATGTCCTTCTCATTATCAAATGCATTGTAAGCGCGGAACTATCTATTCGTTATTGTCAGCGATCTGTCTCGATTGATAGGGAAGCGTTTGAATACCTTCGATGGTTTACTTGGTCGTATCGATTTGTCTGTTACGTGACGCCAATCCCCATTGAACATTTTCTCTATTAGCTTTCGTATTCACACGCTTGTAAACTATTCGCAACGAGAGAAACCCAGAGAGGATTAATTATTAGTTAGAAACAGACGTAAGAAAGGATAACTTTCGATTATTTGTTTATCAGTTATTCCTGTTTTCATTAATAGTTCTGTCTCGTTGATAAATAATTTTTATAATTTCTATATGACTTACATACATACGAATTATGTGCTTCTGTATTATAAATCCAAGAAGATTCAAAGCTGTCTACACGTCATAAATTACTGTAGGTTAAAAAGATAATATAATATAACATTTTATACTTTTTTATTTTATATTTTTCATTTTAGACATAAAATACAAATCCTCTGCGCAAATCCATTTTGCGTTTGCGACGATGACGACGTAGCGAAAAGTTGGTAGGTAGCAGATTGTGCTGATTTTGGTTTTTGTTATAAATATTCTAACTATGCAACTGATAAAAACTTTGGTAAAATTTGAATATGTAAATGTATTACATAGTTTTTGATAGCAGGACACCGTTCTTAGTGTAGTCTTTGGAAAGCTTTCACAGCAAAATACTTGAAAGTATAATCTCCTTATCTTCTACTATTTATAAAGTTAGAAATTCTATGAAACGACATCCATGTTCTTCAGAATTAGATAATGTGAAAAAAGCAGATTCAGCTTTAACAGAATCTCAATTTAAATATTAAATAGAAATTAAGTAAAATATAAAAATATTTGATTTTAATGTTGACATTAAAACAAAATTATTAAAAAAAATCGTAAAAAAGAATAGTATTTAATTAAATTTTCAAGTTCTGATAAATCTACTTTAAAATAGGCGAAAGTTTCGTTACAAATGATCTTGACTCTGATACAATCTGTGCATCATTTATATATTTCGCAATAGAGATAACATATACTTGTTTAGGTTCCCGTTACGCCGAATAATTAAAGTCAGATAAGAAAGTCCGGCACAACTCTAACACGAGGAATGACATTGTTCATATTTCCGAGTAACCTTATACCAAATTCAATCGACTGCTATTAAACCGCTCGACAAACAAAACGAGCTGCCGAAGAGAAAAAAATGATTAGACGATCGAGCATGAGGTTAACGACATCCGACAAGAAGTTTCTGCACTCGCGGAATGATATCGCGCGATAGAAGAGTGGGATAGAGATAAAGATAGATAACTAGAGAGAGGAAGAGAGAGAAACCGAGAAAGAGAAAGGAGAGAGAGAGAGAGAGAGAGAGAGAGGGGGGAGGGGGTGTCAAGCAACGGAGGCGCACGCGACGCGTTTACGAAATCCTTCCCTCTTTTTTTATCCCTCTCATGCGAGCAGCATCCTCTTCAACGTGCGCTGGTCTCTTTAACTATCTCGTTTTTACCCTTTCCGCCGGATCTTCCATCCTCCCTCTTCTTCTGCTATAGAAGACGAAGGAAAGAGAGGAGAGAGAGAGAGAGAGAGAGAGAGAGAGAGAGAGAGAGAGAGAGAGAGAGAGAGACAGCGAGAGGGGTGGAGAGGGAGGGAGAGAGAATTTCTCGCGTTGAACGGAAACCTGCGCAAAGCGACGGCGACGGTGCGCTCAAACGGAGGAGCAGCATCAGGCGGACGCGCGGTGGCGGTTGGCGTCGTCAGTCGTAGCGAGCGAGCGTGGGAGAGTGTCGGATCGAGAGGGTGGAGGACCGAGGGAAGCTGCGGGTACCGGGCAAGAGCGAGAGAATACGCCGCGCGCGACAACCGATCGGAG